CGGCTGATTATGTCGAACAAAAACGAAAAGTCATAAAATAAAAAAAAATCGAGATGCCGTGTTACTTTTCGATTACGCTCACATCGCACGCTTATCTGTCTCTGAAAATGCCAGCCACCTGATCGCAATCCATATCGCTCTCAAGGATTTAATTAAGGATTCTCAAGGATTTTTTGCTTTGATCTCAAGGCATAGTCAATGCTTTGGTAGGATGACAGCGGAATTGAAGTCTCAAGTCAGTCTAGTGATAATCAGGGTCAAGCCTGGGTGTGGCACGCCACCTGAGAGATCGTGCTGAGTGACAGTGAGAGAGGAGGAGGAGAGGGGGAGGGCGCTATCGAGGTAATACTGGTGTTAATATATATTGACATGTATATACATATGTATGTATGTATGTATAACATGTTATATTATATGTTATATAATATAATATGGTTAACAATGTCGGATAGGCGCTTTATGCGTTTTGACATAACGTCGTATATTTACCGTACAGTAAGCATAATCAAAGACGTAAATGATAAGAGCATCATTTTCGTATTCAGTGATTGTGGAGCAACACCTGTGGAAAGTTTCAGCGAATTCTGAGGTTTCCAAATATTGGGTCACGCAAGTAAGATAGTCACTTTCGAAAATGTTAACTTTGCTTCAAAGGTGAGCCAATTGTTTTGCACTTGGTACAAAGTGCTAATACTCCTCTACTCACATTGGGAATCCCAATTCAAATAACTTCCGAACTATAAAATTAAGGGTAAGATAAAATCTCGTCTTTCATTTTTCGCTTTCAATTTCTCAGATTAGAGAATAATTAGGGTCAAATCACTTGTAAAATTTACGAAATTTAGCCTATCGAATACATTTATTCTTCTGTCTTCCCTCACCATAACGTAGAAGCGCAGACCTAGCATGTTACCGTAATTCAATACATTCGTAGTATTTTCCATTCGCATAATTAAAGAAAAACGAGTATTTCTCTCCCTAGGAGAAACGAATGAAATTTCTATGAAAAGAAAGTTTAGCAGTGGCAACGATATAAAATCACAGATATTTGAATGCTTTGAAAGAAGGTTAATGAGGTGTAGCAGAACTTTTGAAAAGGTGTGGTAGCCACAGCTTTTCTGGGGTTGTCCCATTCATTAACTTATCTAGAAAATCTTAGCGGACAAAATATTGGGTTGTCCCGAAAGTTCTGTCGTTTCATATTTGAAAATTTGTATCTTTGCGCTATCTGAACGAAATCGGTTCGTTATACTTTCGTTAGAAAGTGTAGATCTTTTGCTTTCGAATGCTGTTTTGATATCTTCTGCTACGGATTGACTGCATAGATAAAAATAGAAAAAGTAGACCTTATAAGCTTCAGTCATTTTAACTTAAGTCGCCAAAAATTGGGAATGCTGCAGAAAAATCTGAACTCTCAAATACACATGTTTTATGACCTAGCCTTTGCAACTCCGAAAAGTTTGTGCGTGTTTGCAAGTGTCTGTAAAAAGTTATTTCGAGAAAAGTGACAAATTAATTAATTGCGTTTTCTGTAGTAAACTGATGTTTGGTAACTTTTGAAAGAGACGTTCAAACAAGACAAACTTTTCACAGCTGCAAAGAGTAGGTCAAAAAACTTATGTGTTGACGATTTCAGATTTTTCTGCAGCTTTCCAGATTTTTGGCGACCTAACGAGGTAGAGTTCCCAAGTCAGCTAAGCCAACCCGGATGAGTCATGTATCACCGTAACGGCTGAAACGCTGATCCCAAATCTGCTTTCCCTTTCTGCGGAGCCACTTTCCTAGAGAAGTTATGAGCGTTTAAAAGTCTAAATTTGTCATGTTTTAAGTGGGTTAAAATAGGCGAAACCTGTACAATAACACATGAAAGTGATTTGTCAGTTTTGTTTCAAGTATATTGATTGCAAGGACGGAACACAGATAATGAAATTCACTTAAGTGTTGTTCTACAGCTTTCAACTGATTTAAGCCACTTTGAACATGACAAATTTAGACATTTAAACGCTCATACCTTCCCTCGGAAAGTTGCTCCGCAGAAAACGAAAGCAGATTTGGAATGAGCGTCTCAAGCCCGTTACGGTGATAGTATATGGTATATAGTATATATATTCATCCGGGTTGGCGAGCTGACTTGGGAACTCTCCTTTGTAAGTTAAAATGACCAACGCTTATATGGTCTTCTTTTTCTATTTTTACCTCTGCAGTCAGTCCGTAGCCATAGTTTATCAAAACAGCATCTGGAAGCGAAAGACCTACTATATAACGAACCAAATTCGTTGAGATAGCGCAAAGTTATGATTTTTCAAAAATGTAAAGAAGAACTTTCGGGACAATCTAATACATATAGTTCGATAACCAGTAACTCGTAGCTTCCTAGAAGTGAATCTGAATTCGCCTTTTTATTTAAGCAATAGTTGGTGGAAGCACAACCACTGTAAGCAAAAAATGGATGGCTGGCTCCTAATTCTATAGTCCGATGTTTAGTTGAAGCAGATTCGTAGGTTTAGCAAATAGGGAGTAGTGCTTTGCGATGAGCACAAAAGGAGTTAGCTAATTCACCTTTTGTAAGTTGAGAATGTTTGAAAATGATCACTTGACTTGGTGGCTCAATAATGGAAGCTTTCAGAATTCGCTAAAACTTGGTAAACGTGAGTTATTTGACAATTATTCATTATTGATTATTTGATTTGATGATATTTGGTAATTACGAATATGTTAATAATTATGTTTGGTGGAGCCTTTATGCCAGTCTACGGTAAGCAAACGATAAAAATGGGGGGAGGGGTCATATCGGCGGTTGTGTGCACATCTCTTGCTCGACCGTGTTAATGCTTGCTACATCAGTAGACGTATGCGTGAGTCATCTGTAACTCGACTTTTCGGACCTTCTTCCTCAAATAGAAGCAGTAAGATAAACATCATAGCGAAATTCGCGACTTCTCGATACCGGAATGTTTCGAGGTTTTATCTCCAAAATACCTCTCAATTTTTTGCTATTAGGTGGATTCGAAAACTAGCTGTTTTCAACATCGTGCTTCATGTTTTCGATGTTGATATAAATACTAGCCAGATAACTGACATCCACTTAGCAGATGGGTGCTGGGACCAACAAATTTTATGATTTTTGCGATTACTAGGCACAAAGATTTCTGTACTGTATAAACAGCACCGCGAATAATGGCAGTTGCAAAACACCATCTGGAAGGCAAAGGTTGCCTGGTGGGCCGGGCCTACTTCACGCGATTTCAGTGGCTACGCGATTTGGCAATTTGCCAGAAGTCTTCAGATTTAACACTATCAAGCTGCATATACATATGTGTATAACTTAGGCTAATTGATGAAATGCCCTATCTTCTGTACATTGAAAATTTGCTTACAGTGAGTTATGGACAGTGAATATTGCCAAATCGCGTCGCGACTGAAATCGCGTGAAGTATGCCCGGCCCCTAAAGCGATTTCGTACACTAAGAAATACAAGTCTGCTGCTGCGCAGCATTACCGTCCTTTGAAGCTGATAGTGGCAATTGCCTACAAGGTCCGAAGGAGTCAATATGTAAACCTGCACAATTCACTTTCACTCATATCAGGACTTAGTCTAAGCTGATTAGCAAAGGTTCATAACTTCCAGCGTTTTTTTTTTTGCCGCATTCGTGAGTTTAGAGAGTGGACAAAATCAACTCGTGATAGTTCGCGGAATTTGCAGTAAAATAAGAGTTTTTTTTTCAAAAAAGAGAGTGTAGGCTCGCACTTAGTATTTCGTGCTGCCGCACTGACCACACTAACAGCGCTGCTGCGTTGAAGCGGTAACAGTTTAGCGGCTTTATCTGGGCGTGTTAATGGTGTTGCCTACTAGATCTTATCTTGGAGTCTGTGTTCTTAACAGAAGTTGCTAGTTTTGCTGACTTGCAGTAGTTTTTCAAAAACTTCTATGCTCCACAATTCAGCAGTGTTTTAGCTTCCTACGAATCAATGTGTCGATAACGCGCAGATACCTTCATATTCTAATTTTTTTTCTCAAAACTCAAAGCAACAAGCAGTACATCTTTTCGTGTTGGGACTCAGAAATTGCATGCGCTTTGCTCTAATAGGCTTTTGGTTTGCCTCCGAGATACATTTGTGACTCATGTACAAGTAATAATTATTTTTAGTTTCTGAAAAAAGTCAAACTCGTAACAGCAGTTTACATAAATCACTGCTGCATTCCTGTGCTACGGCTGCTGCAGTCATCGCAGTCATTGCGGTCACTGCGCTCAGTGCAGTCAGGATGAAACAACCCTTACCAGAAAGCAGAGAATTTTCATGTTTAGCTGTTTTAAGCGTGAAGAGGTGTAATTTGTTGACGAAAATGTTGAACAGGTTCACTTTTCCCAGCGACTTATCAGTGACTGATAATGATTCCATGTTTAGACTGCGGTTGCACGTAATGTCTCTTGTCTGCTCACGTATCTTCAACGAGTTTTTTCTTTCGCTGCTTTGCAAATTTAATTCTCACCAGATAAGAACTGTCAATGTCAATATAACGGTTTTCTTGGATCGCAAACTAATCATTGGTCGTTGCAAAGGTTTAACCTTGGACTGTTTTTAGTTCTATCAAAATCGTTACAAAAATTTTGTACATTTGTTACAAAAGCTTTGTACTGATACATATAAATCAGTTAGAGCTTGAGAAAATGCAAAATACAAAGAAACAAAGGCATCATCACCCGATTGCCATCTCAAGAGCCCAAACCCACCTTGTCTTTTCATCTCTTTTCTTCGAGCGTTATGTTCAAAAAGGTAGTGGGTTGTCCAAGAGCTGGAAATGGAATGTCTCTCCATGTGTAGCGAATACGTTATCGGAGCATTAAATTTCGAATAATCAAAAAAATCAAGGTTGTTCGATCTATAATTAAGTGCTTTCAGCAACGGAATCGCTCGGTAATTACAATGACAGCTTCAGATAAGCTTCAGCCTCAGTTGATGCTCTTATTTTTTGTGCTGGTGAGTTAATAGATAAGAAACAATCATCTAGATTTTCATTACTTCCCGGCAATATTGAATCGTAACAAGACATGACTTGGACTTTGTCGAAACGAACCTGACTATGAATTACCAATCTTAATTACGAACATTCTACAATCGAGATCTACACCGTCAGCATCATAAGATGTCCTTTTGAGTGAAACGAATTTAGTGAAAAATTATGTTCAACACATAAGTCCTCTTGGAGGCAAAAGAAATTATCATTGTGCTTTCGTCGTCTTCGTGGGTGATCGCTTTCTTATGTAGGCATTGTAGAAGAACTCGGCAAAGAGGTAGAGATAACTGAGATACATGAGTCCACCAATTGTCAACACATTCCAGCTGAAAAAAAGACAGATTTTGCTTTCCCCTCATTACTAAGCAACCATTGCATTAGAAAAAGCAATGTCCAAGGAAATTTAGGTACTTGCGGCAGCCCCAATGATTCATTTGCGCCAAAGAAATTCCATTCTAAACTCTCATGCAAAACGTATCTCTGCCGTATCGGGAAACTGATTGATTCTCTTGCAAACAACACGGTCTCGGCGAGAATTTAGAGTTGTCTAGGCTGCGAATGGTTCATATAAGCTCTTGCTTGGGTATTAGCTAGAGACCGTACCGCCTAAGTCAGCTATCCACTTATACCCGGACTCCAATGGCGGCCTAAAAAGGGGGAAAGGGGAAGCGAAAATGGGTCGCGAAATTATTGAAAAATTTCTACACAAGTTCAAAGATGCAAGTGAGTCTTCAAATGAATTTGCTAGAGACTTACATTAGCTTTGTAAAAATTTGTTTTACTTTCGCAATATTTCGAGGTTATAGGCTTGCAGAAAAACACCCCCAAACATTTTTTGGCAGGACGTAACTGCATTCGGAAAAAAATTTTGTTCCCCCCCTCTCCCAAATAATTCTTCAGACCGCCACTGCTCTACTCTTCTTATATTGCCTTACCTTACAGCACAGTCGGGAATCTGATTATAGGTCTTGATGATGACCAAATGTGCAAAAATGTAGCACTGTACAACAAACTGAACAATTTGGATAGTGGTGATGAACTTCGCCACTGGTCGAGGAGTCTGTATTTTGAGCGCTCGTACTCCGAAGTAACTGAAACGGACAAAATTGTTTACAACTTCTTTGAGTTTGGGTCCTATGTTCACTCACAAGTACATAATAGTATGGACAGTGAGGTTAAGAGCTAGAGACCATCGTGCCCAAGCTTGATGTTCTGAGTAAGTGATAGCGGCATAGACGAATGTCATTGCATGATGGTACCAGTGCATGAAAATCACGGGCTTTTTCCTAAAATAGTTGTCAAATGAAATACTGAGTAAAAGTGAAACTAAGTACAATATAGATAAAAGGACACTGTATGATTTTGATTAAAAAAAAGATCTTAGAAGCTTATCGCACTCTGTCAAGGTCGCGATTGCTGTGGTCTCCACTGATAATACTTTTGCAGAACTTTCTTACCTTAGAACTAGAAACATCGTGTCTCCAAGTTCTGGAGCTTTTGACATGACAAACGCCCATCCCCAGAAACCCGTAGAGGGATTTGTGTAATAATCGTGATTGTTGCAATATGTGCCTAGAAACTGTGCAAATAACAAGATCACACAAAGCCACAAATATTTTTTTATAATCGTTTAAAAACAGTGGTTTTCTCAGTTATTGCGTAATTTGAAGTTTTTGCTGTAATAGTCTTTGGTTAATTCAAGGGTCTGCGACCCAGCTTATTGCTTCATTAAATCACCTGACAAATCAGATTAAAGTGCTGAGTAACCAATAGCAGATTGATGTATTATTGTAACTGCTTAACTCTTACACAAATGTACGATAAAATCAATGAAAAGGAGGGACAATTATGCAACGGTCATATCGTAGAATATCATGAACTTGTCATAACGACATAATTTTTGAAATCTTGCTGACAGAGGTGGAAAAGTGTTCCCCCAGCAGAAATCCTTGATGTGAAAGTTTTGTCAGAGTGCAAAAAGAACGTTTTTCCTGCATACGTTCGAATTATTTTGAAGAGAGGTTATTTTACTACTATAGGTTCAAAAAAGCTCAATATATTTTGGAAGTAGTTCATTTGCACTTCGGAGTCGAGATATTTTGTAAGTGGACTCTGGTATCATACTCCGAACTCTGCCAAATATAATCCTTCAATGCTTTTGGAAAAAAATCGTAAATCACATTAAGGATATTTCGAAAGGTGGTTTATGTTTTTGAACATTTCGAAAGCTAAAGCGCTTATATGCAAGCTAAAATGGGTAAAAAATTTGTCATTGTCACCCACCTACAAATCCATCATTGTTAAACACGTTTAATAATTCAGGAATCAATTTGTAGGCGGCCACCCCAGAAAACAACGAAAACATGAAATTCCACAATGCTAATGGCGTATCAAGTTCAAGTGGTTTCCTATTTCGCATTACTTTTTGTCCGAGATAAATTGCCAACAAGTAGGCGACAGCTACCTGGAACAGTAACAAACAGTTTAAGAATTACAAAATTTGAAACTCAAGCGATTTAGGAACATGTTAAGTTCTTACTTTATATGAAGTTGGCACCCAATGAGACATGTAGTTATCCGTTTTCTCGAGGCTCCAAGAGCCAAAGAAAACATCTGAGAACCCCACCGTTGGAGACATATCTGTAATTGTGCGTAAAATAACTGCACAAGAGAGTGCGATATTGGGTGAGATAATGATACACGTGCAAATGAACTTTAAAAACAACAAAACTGTGAGGGACCTGTGAGAATGCGATACAGATAAGGGCAAAAGAGAGCGCAGTCGTGATTTTATAAGACGACACATCATCACGCCATACCGTGCGAGTCTGCTGGACGCTTTGGAACGATAACTTATCGCCGAAGTCAAAGGTCGTTCTAATCGACCAACCTATGCTGCCGTCTTTGAAATCGAAAGATGGCAGGTAATTCTTGAAGATGCTGGCGAATACGGAGCTAGACAGGAAAAAACTGGAGACGGAAAGAGGGCTTTGTTGGCGCCAAAGATCGTTAAACCTTTGAATGAGTTTGAAAAACTGCCATAGACTCGTCTGATCATTCGTCATTCATCACTTACGAAATTTGGTGGTGCGATATAAATGATTCAGCAACGAATTCATAGGGAGTCTCCCCTCAACCGGTTTGCATTTGACCAGTCGTTTAATGATGAAAAAGTAATTGGTCGGATCGAAATGAGCACGGACTAACAACACATGAATGATTGTGATTCTCACAATGAAGCGCATTGAAATCATTGAAATTGTTTTTTTTTGCAGAATAGCAAAGACATAGAATAATCAAGCGCACAGCAAAAGAGTTCCCACGAATTCCCACGGATGTCATTATTTTTTGCGCATTCTTGCTCCCGTTATAAGAAGAAATGGTTTGACACCATATGTCGTTGTGATTCCCAAATCAGAAAAAATTTCGTCACTGATTTCTGATTACCCTGCGATTATCTAATCTAAGGTACTATGTAATATTTTTTGACTTTTGATAATGTGAAAAAGCGACTCAAGAAAGAAGCACTTACAACCTTTTCTTGCGAACACGCAAAACTTTGATTATCATATTCTTCTAGCTAGTTTATAATTCTTTGAAATACAGAAGCTAAGACTCAACCTTAGTTTTTTGTAGCGAAAATGAAGTCTGACACTCGCTTCTCACAGATCTTTTATAACACTATTGAAATTTTACCCTCTCTTGCAAGTTAGGTTGCAAGGTTTGCGGAAATTCGCAAAAATGACCTTATTAGTTCTAAAAAATGTGCACGCAAATTGTTTTTACCGATTAATATTTGGAACATGTTTCAAATGTTTGAAAATTCAAATTAGTTTTGCAAAAAAAGTTTCTGAGCGTGGTTGCTCCAAAAAATCCTGTAGTAGCTTCCCCCCCCCCCCCGCCGGAAAATATCTCTGGGGACCGCCACTGAGCAGATGTTACCGCTGTTATAAAGTGGGTCCAGGTCCACTATTATAAGAACATCGCTTATTTTAAGAGTTTCGGAATTCTTTGGGAAAAACTTAATTACTGTTGGTAGTAGAAAGAGCATAGCCGAAAGCGGTATACACAGCCCAAGAAGAAAATCTGGCGTCAATCTAAGAATGGATTTCGCGACGAAGGCGAATTCTTAGCGATTCATAATTATACAAATACCTCGCAAGCTCCTTTTCTACTCACTGTTGCAATCTTAGAACCACTTTTTGGAAAGCTACGGTGATGGAGTTCGAGATATCTTCTGGAAGTGAAAGCAATGTAGGTCAAAAGAGGAGCGTTACTTTCACTGCGTAGCTCAAAATGCTTTTGGATCCAGCGCTCCAAAAGTGTCTGTTTTTGTGAAATCAGCTACAAGGTTTTCGAAGTTTCTGATCCAAAGTAAATCGAAGAAAGGAAGGGTGATGTAAAATGTCTACTGATGGGTAATCAGTCTTCACTCTCAAACACTTTTTCAAATGTGAACAGTAACAGAACATGTTGATGGAAGAGATTAACTGTAGTGTATCTGATTTACTGATCATTAAGCACTGTTTATACGGTGTCGTCATCGGCAACATTTCTTATGGGATGTTCACTTTTGAAATTCCATGAACGCTTTTCAAAATTCACCAAAAAATCCATAAATGTGCTACATGCTTGTTAGATTTTGATGCAAAGATTTTTTTAGGATAAGAAATAGAAAAGACAATTAAGTTTGCGAAAAAGCTCCGGGGAGTGCCTATACGTACATGAAATGAATGTCGCAAAGACATTGAAGCTTCAATGATCATCAAAAATCAACAAAAAAGCAAAGCGGAGCTCATACCTATGATTAGGAAATCAATTGTAAGCATTGCTGAATGTCTAAAAATAGCCACCGATCACTGTAGCTCCATCAAACTAAAGAGGATCGCTCTCTTACGTGTTTCGTGGTTATAGAGTCGCCCTATTGTCCAGTCTGCTCCAAGCGCTACTCATTCTGATTAAAGATATTCATGGCTTTTCGTCAGAAATATAGAAGAATAAATGATTTTGGGAAGCACGGTCAGTAGGTGGGGATTACGAGTGGATCATACAAAAATTGGAAAAGGCGGTTTGTATAACAATACCCTTCTGTTCGACATGTTTACTGTGAAAAATAGAAAGGAGCTTGATGAATAAGCAACTGAAACCCACTTCTTTGAAGCAACAGAATATGCAGCTTGATTTCAAGCTGTGCTTCTCTTCCTCACAAGAATGTTTACGCATGCGACCTAAGCGGACGGTTTTGATCGAGAAACGTTTAGGGGAGAGCCGATTAGAATCGCCTCTCAAGTGAGGAAACCCTAGCCGCTTAGCCTTAAGCTTTTGTATAACCCTCCAAACCTGTCCATCTAGAGTTATCCGTCAAGGAAGCAGAACTGTGACCTTTTGAAAGCACTGAATTTAATACACCTGGAGGTTATACAGAAGAAAAATTCAGACAATTTGCCGAGGCACTACCTTTAAAAGTTATAGCTAATTTCACAAACACCTAAATTTCAATCCCTTCTTGATTCACTATGGCGCAAGCAGCGGAAATTTTGACACAGATAAAAGCAAAGTGTGATTCATTTTGCATTCTATGATATTTGCTAACAAGGGAATGCTAAGAAATCAAAGTGGCCAAGTGGCCAACAAACTGCATACCATTAGATGCAGCATAAAACGCTGACTTCGAATCTGAATTCCATATCTACTTAGTGTCTATGTGGACGAAGTTATGAGCCATTGAAGGCCATAGTTTTGCTAAGAAATCGTGCATGCAAAGCGCAAATTTGGCAGTACAGTGCCATGCTCGGCTAAATGTTGGGCCAGATCATAAAGCCCATGCTTGATGCTTGCTTGTTGGATTGCCACTTCAACTTCTGACCGTTCCTTATGAGCAATGAAATGTTCCGAAAAAACACTAAGCACGTGTTTAGCATGAAAAATGAAGCTGCAGCAAAACGGAAATGAAGTAAAAAAGAAAATGGAGAAAAGTGTAAAGCGAAGCGCATTACGAATACAATGAAGCTAATGCGTATCATCATGAAATACACAAAAAAGTGAGTTCAGTATGAAAATTATGAGCGAAAAGAACATTTTTAGCCCAGTTCACATTTTCCTGCCCTTCCTGTCTCTCTCCTTTATCAACATGTGTGTCAAAAATCTAACGCAATCAAAGAACTCAGGTTATAATGCTTCAATAGTACGAGATTATTATAATTTATATATGAAAACCTATTTGCTGCTCATCAGTAACACTTGCTACTCCGAATATGAACAGATGGTGATAAAATAACATATCTTGCTCATGTAACATCAATGACATGAGGCAAAGTTTTGATGAGAATATTGTCAAACCATTTTCGTGATGCTATTAGAAGCTGAATCACAATGAGGGCACAAGTGTAATATTATCTCCCTTTCTTTGCTAAATCGACTTGAAAAGCAGTATTTTTATAAAATATGCATTTTCAACAATTGTTATCATAAAAACACAGAAGATATGACTTTCGAACGAAAACGAGAATAAGCGTGAGTTCAGAGTTCAAGGGCTAAACAATCAAAGAGAGCCGTGCAAGGTCGTTTGCAAGCCGAGTCGATCTATTTTGCATGCGAAAACCTGCAAAATCGCCTTACGCGTCATGCCAGGTTCGAACATGTGCGAAGCGTTGAATGCCTGATTCAGGGTTCCGTTGAATCACATATTATAATATTCATATCAAATCATCAAAAACACCCTATCTGTCCATAAAAGTTTTTGCAGTAGTGAAGAGCTACTCAGAAATCTTATTTCGTTGAACATTTGGTGCATTCCCCAGAATTGTACCCATATGAACCATCAACATAGCTGTCTTTCAATCACTTTAATATGTCAACTTCGAATAAGCGCCTTATATTTGCTGGAGCTTACGTGCTAAAACGATCCAAACGCAGCCACTTTGACGGTTTATGTGGGAACAATTCTGACGGATGCACGATATCTTCGGTAACGAAATCTCCACATTAGACCAAACTTGGTAATTTCTCGAATCTAATGAAAAAGCATGGATACTGTCATGCTCGCCGTCTCTGATTGCTTCCTAAGACATGCCGACAATTCAAGCCAATACTCCCAAAGAGCCTGCTTTGAAACATCGTCAAGATGCTGAAGACTCCTGGGGAAATTTAGGTCACTGAAACTGGGTCATAGCCAAAAAGCTTTCAAAATGATCGTAAGAAGGTGAAATTAGGGAACGAAAGAGAAAGACCGTACCGTTATTGAATAGTACTTTGAGGACATGATAAAAGATTTTCAGTGCTAAGTCGGATCCACAGAAAACCTTCTCAGAATTACTCAAAGTAAAGTACAGGGAGATAAAAAGAAGAAAAAGACACGGCTCCAAACTGAGTAAGAAATCAAGTATCATGTGGAAAATCACAGTTCACAGTCAAATCAAACAGCACTGAGTTTCACTTCTATTCGATATAGAGATTGAAAAGAGTTGAAGCCTTGCAAGGTTCGGATTGCAGTGTCTTTTGCAGTGAAAACCGCCTTGACTAATATCAAAAGCTTCTGTAAAAACATGAAATAATTTGCAAATATTCTCAAGAATATTCAAGATTGAGTGTAAATGGAATAGAAGTGAATTTCCATGCGGAGAAAAGATTTGAACTCAAAATC